CCGGCTTTGGGGGGCGAGGATGAGGATGAGGAGGTGATAGAAGAGGAGGAAAAGGAGAAGAAAGAGGATGAAGTGCTCTCAGATGAGATCAAGGAGGAGGACAATGTCCTGGTGCTCCACGAGCACAACTTTGCCCGTGCCCTAAGTGAGCACCAGCTGCTGCTGGTGGAGTTCTGTGAGTGCCCCCAGGGCTGGCAGGGCTGTGGGCAGGGCAGGGGTGGGGCAGGGAATGTGGGCAGGGGGATTGGCCTGGCTGAGTGTGGGCAGAACACGGACATGGACACAGGTACAGCAGGGTACAGGACCCAGGAGGGACAGGAGGTGGGGTGGGCAGGGACAGGGCTGTGGGACAGAGGGACAAGAGCACAGGCCATGTGACAGGGCATGGGATGGGGACAGACACACGGAGCAGGCACACAGGCAGAGCGTGGGTGAGGGTGCTTAGCATGGGCATGGGACACAAGGTAAGGACACACGGTGTGGGTGTGGGACAGGGGCACAGGCTGGGGCCCAGTGGGCTCACACAGCCATTGGGCTGTCCCCACACCTGTCCCCGTTATCAATGCTGTCCCCTGCCCACAGACGCGCCGTGGTGTGGGCACTGCCAGCAGCTGGCGCCTGCCTTTGCCCAGGCAGCCACTGAGCTGAGGAACGAGTCCAGCCCAGCCCGGCTGGGCAAGGTGGATGCCACGGCACAGACAGCTCTGGCCACTGAGTTTGGCATCACCTCCTACCCCACGCTCAAGCTCTTCCGTGATGGCAACCGCACCCACCCCCTGGAATACACCGGTAGGGCTGAGGCTCCACACAGTGTCCCTGGCAGCCATCGAGGGGACACTGCCATGGGGCTGGGGTGGGTGGCAGGGGCCGATGGTCGATGGTGGCACTGTCCTTGTGGGTGTCACAGGGTGGTGATGGTGTGAGGGGTGGCCATGTCCTGGTGGTGATAACGGACAGGTGACAGTGTGATGTATGAGGTGGTGATGGTGGACAGTGTCACAGTGCTGTGGTGGGTGGCTGAGGTGGTGGCACAGGGAGGGGTGGCAGCCTGGAGAGGGGTGTCAGGTGACATCTGTGTGCCAGGCCGCAGGGACAGCCAGGGCATCGTGCTCTGGATGCAGCGCCGGGCGGGCCCCAGCGCCACGCTGCTGCAGGACACCGACACCACCGCAGCCTTCATCGACTCCCGGGACCTGGTGGCCATCGGCTTCTTCAAGGTGGGCTGGGGCTGGCTGGGGCTGGACCACGGCCATGGCTGTGGCTATGGCACTCACAGGTGGCTGTGCAGGACCTGAAGGGTGAGGCAGCCCAGGCATTCTTCGAGGTGGCAGCTGAGATGGTGGACCTCACGTTCGGCGTGGCAGAGGCAGCTGAGCTCTTCCAGGCCTACGGGCTGTCAGCTGACACCGTCTGCCTGTTCAAGAAGGTGAGGGGGTGGCAGGGGCGTGGTGGGGCCATCCTGCCCTCCCCTCAGCCCTCACAGGCCCCTGCCCTGGCAGTTTGATGAGAAACAGACAAACTTCCCTGTGGACCCAGCACGGGGGCTGGACACGGCCGAGCTCATGCGGCTGCTCCGCGTCCACAGCCTGCAGCTGGTGATGGAGTTCACCAACGAGGTACAGCCCGTCCCCAGCCCTGCCACTGTCCCCTGAGGGCCACGGCTGCCCTGCCCTCATTATCCTCCTCCTCCTCAGACCTCCAACCAGATCTTCAGTGCCAAGATCCCTCATCACATGCTGCTCTTCCTCAACAAGTCCTCACCGGAGCAGCTGTCGCTGCAGGACGGCTTCAGGGCAGCTGCCGGTGGCTTCAGGGGTGAGGTGAGGTGGCCCCATGGAGGGGACACGGAGGGTGGCTCTGGGATTCCCCAGGCTCAGTGTCCCCTGCTCCCTGCCCAGGTGCTCTTTGTGGTAGTGGATGTAACCGGGCATGGCGCCAATGTCCTGTCCTTCTTTGGCATGAGCGCTGCTGACGCCCCCACCCTGCGCCTGGTGAGGATGAAGAACAACCGCAAGTACCAGATGGAGCAGGACAACTTCTCAGAGTCAGCCATCCGCACCTTCGTCCAGGGCGTGCTGGACGGCAAGGTCAAGGTGAGCCCTGCAGTACGATGGGCTCTGCCCTGTGGGGAGAATGGGGCTGTTTGCTCAGGAGCCCAAGGATGATGGATGGCTGTGTGGTGAACAGCAGGGACCTGTTTGCTGATGCTCCTGCTGCCAGGCTTGAGGATTTGGGGGTTTGTTATGGACAAGGGGGCAGGAGACTGCTGCCATGCAGACACACAGAGCTGGGATGGCAGCAGAGGGGAAGGTGTGGTCCAAAAGGCAGCACAGGAACACACCCCTGCCCCAGCCTGCACTGTGCCCCAGGGGGCTCTGGCACTGCTCAGCCCAGGCTGTGGCTGTCCTGACTGTCCCCACAGCCTCGCCTGCTGAGTGCAGAGCCCCCTGAGGACTGGGACACACGGCCTGTTAAAGTCCTGGTGGGGAAGACCTTCGAGCAGGTGGCTTTCGATGAGACCAAGAACGTCTTTGTCAAGTTCTGTAAGTGCCACCCACGTCCCTGCCGTGGAGCTCAGCCCCTCCAGGACAGCCCCAGCCCTGTCCCAGCCCCCTGCTCAGTGTCCCCACCCCACAGATGCACCGTGGTGCCCCCACTGCCAGGCCATGGAGGCCGCCTGGGAGGAGCTGGCCGAGCGCTACAAGGACCGCAAGGACATCGTCATCGCCAAGATGGACTCCACGGCCAACGAGCTGGAGAACATCACCATCCACGGCTACCCCACCCTGCACTACTTCCCTGCAGGGCCGGGCAGGAAGGTACGTGTGGGCACTGGTGGGGCCACCACACCTGGGGGACGGTGGCACCCTGAGCACCCTCTGCTCCCATGGCTCCAGATGATTGAGTACAAGAGCAGCCGAGATGTGGAGACCTTCTCCAAGTTCCTGGAAAACGGGGGGACACTGCCTGAGGAGCCTCCGGTGAGTGAGGTCAGGGGCTGGGGGATGGATCCTGCAGGATGGGACAGGGACAGGGTCAGGCAGGGAGTGTGTGTCCCTCCATGCCTCACTGCCGCCTTCTCCAGGTGACCAAGGCCCCTGGGAACGGCACGGGCAAGGAGGAGCCGAGTGCGCCACGGACGGACGAATCCCGGGATGAGCTGTGAGCCCTGTCCTACTCAGGCATGTGCTATAAACCGCTGGAAACAATGTGGGCTCTGCTCTGTGTCTGTGTCTATGTGCTGGGAGCACCCACCTGTCCTGGGGACACAGCAGGGCCTTTGTCCCCCTGGGGCAGCTGTGCCATTGCACTGATCCTGGCAACCCTGCAATGGCACCAGGTGGCCAAGGAGCTCTCTGTGCTGCACTGGCGGGGTTCAGGTGATGGGGGACCAGCTGGGGTCTCTCCTTCATGACACAGCAGACCCAGGCAATCCCCAGGAGCTGCTGTCACAGCCAAGGCAGGCAACATGGGGTTCTACTGGCATGAAAGCCTGGCTTGTAGCCTCTGGCAACTCCAGCACTGTCCCCTCTCTGCTGAGCCATTCCTTCAGGGGCAGCATGTGGGTCCTGTTGGGCCAGGATGTGCTCAGCCACCCCTCCAGGGAGCTCAGAGCAGCTCCGGTCCCACCCTGTGCCCTTCACCAATCCTGCCCCATCCTCTGTCCATCCCAGAGGCTGCTGAGGGCCTGGGCCTGCTCCACAGGGAAGGAAAAAAAGCAGCAGGCAGTGGGATGTGGGGTTTTATTTCATTTTATCCAAGTACCTTTGAAAAGATCATTGTACAAGTCAGCACATGAGAATGCAGAGGAAATGCCGGGGCTGCACGGCCACTGTACATATTTACAGGGACCCCCCAGAAAAAAGGGGGGGACGGAAATCCCGGGCACGCCAACACCCTCACCAGACACACCACCATCAGAACCTCAAAAAACGGACTCAAACCCCTCGTGACAGTTCCCGGGCTGAAAACATTTGCAGATTTTGCTGGACTTCACCCAGTGCTTTAGGCAAGTCCAGCCCGTGTTTAAAGGC